CTAATCGCTGTCCAACGCAGCTCCCAACCGCTGCCCAACGCAGCTCAAACCGCTGCCCAACGCAGCTCAATTCGCTGCCAAACGTAGCTCGAATCGCTGCCAAACGCAGCTCTAATCGCCGCCAAACGTAGCTTCCAACAAGATGCCAACGCGGCTTCCAGACACTGCGTTCAAGCTTCCAGACACTGCGTTTGAACGCAGAATTTACACCGGAACGCGGATTTTGCGGTTGACTCGTTCAAACACGAGCTGAACAGTTTCAAAACCATTTCCCACGATCTGAGGGGATCACAACTCCACTCAGGAGTGATTTAAGGGGGCGGCTACATCCCATTAGCCCCACTTAGGAGCGAATTAAGGAGGTGGTTACACCCCTTAATCCCCTATAAATAACTTGTCAATTCCATTGGATTCGGCTCGGCTGAACTTCTGGCTATCCACAGGACCTAGAGCAATTCTGGAGCTTTTGAATCGGCAAAAATTTCTCATCTTTGGCTATAATCGACTTTCGTTACAATCACTCTTTCATAAGTTCAAACTCGTTTCAGAGTTCTCTACAAATCATCAAATCGTGAGGAGGAGATACCGTTCTAGTGAATCAAGACGTTCGGATCGTCAACGAGAAGCAAACTCGACGCGAGCATTCGAGGGAGGCATCTCATCGCCACCGTGAAGAACCCAGATTTAAACAAAGGGGAGAATCCAGATCATTCTCCTCTCTTTTGTAATCAGGAAATCCAATTGTAATTGAGATTAAAGGAATACAAATCAATTTTCCTTCGTTTCTTTTGCTGCAGAATTTTCCACCAAACAAAGCTTCACTATGGTTTTGTTAAAAGCTTCTGCAAGACCATTTGCTGGCGGATAATATGCTGTGGATGCAACACTTTGGATTCTGAATTTGTCACAAAATCTCTGGAATCCAAAGCTGACGAATTGTGTCCCGTTGTCGTGAACTATTCGCCTCGTGATTCCAAAATGATAGATGACATGATGTTTGATGAACTTGATCACATTCGAAGTCTTGACTTCTTTCAGCGGGATAGCCTCCGCCCATTTGGAGAAATAGTCAGTTACGGCTAGAATGAACCGGTGTCCCTTGGATGTTGGAGGGGAAATCGGTCCGACGATATCCATACCCCACATCTCGAATGGCCAAGTTGCTGATGTGGGGTGTAAGTTCCCTGGCGCTTGGTGGATGAAGTCTCCATGAATTTGGCATGCGTGACAATGTTTAGCGTAGTCAACCGCGTCTGAAAACATCCTCGGCCAATAATAGCCGATTCGTCGGAGGTGATCTCCTAATTTAGCTCCAGGCTGATGAGCTCCGCACATTCCGTCGTGAGCTTCCTTGAGGGCCTCTTTCGCTTCCTTCCGAGAGAGGCATCGAAGTAAAACTCCATCATATGATTTGCGATACAGGACTTGAGAAACTGCATCGTAATAGAATCGGAGGGCCTTTCTTTTGATAGAGGCCGCTTCCTTAGGGTCATCGGGCAGAATCCCGTATAGGACATAGTCGATGTACGGGAATCTCCAATCTCTAGACTCAAATTCCATGGAGGTTGTACAGACTTCTTCTGTCAGTGTCTCGTCCACTACAAGAAATTACATCTTTAACGAAGGGATTTCCCTTCGTTAAAGAGCTAAAAACCTTCGTTATTGTATGCTAACGACGGGAAAAAATCCCTTCGTCACCCGTTGTTGAAGCCCTCTTCGCTAAAGGGTCACGAAGGGATATACTAACCGTCGTTATAGAGTCTATAACGACGGAACATATTACCGTCGTTAATATTTACGACGGTAATTATCACCGTCGTTACTATCAGTGACGGGGATATTTTCCCGTCGTTACCATCAGTGACGAGATATTTTCCCACCGTTACCATTAGTTACGGGGATATTTTCCCGTCGTTACCATTAGTAACGGGGATATTTTCCCGTCGTTGAAGACTAATTAATGACGGTTGGATACCGTCGTAAAAGTCCTCATAATGGATAATTAGTAACCCATTAACAATGGTGCTTTCCCTTCGTTGATGAACAAAATACGGTTTATAAAACCGTCATTGTAGACTACAAATTTTTAATATACATTAATAATAATTTTTTCATTCATAGGCAACTATCATATTATTCTCAACCTGACACTAAGATTCACAACACAAATATATTAAAAATACCCAATAATGAATAAAATAGAAAATAAAAATTACATTCATTAATAACATCAATAAATAAAATTCCACCATCCTCAAATATTCAATACTAATAACAAGAGTTAATATCATAATTGTTCCAAAAAAATACATGAAACTATCTATAATTAACAAATTAAAATAAAAGTTCAGAAAAGACACATTCTTTCATCTCTAATCATCGTCAAAAGAAGACTCGAGCTACCCCACTCTCCTAATCTTGCATGGATAACCTGAAATTTTTTTTAAAAAAATCACATAATTAAGATATATCAATTAAGCAAATATTATCTTATTAAGTAAAATTCACAACCAAGAGGGCACATTCATATCCAACGCATATTTGATACTTGCACATTTGGATACTTTGCTAGATAGTCCTAGTAGTATCCTAAAATTATATTAATACTAGTATTTAAACCCGTACAAAGCACGGTTCCTAATTTTTTTTTGCAAATACTAAACATGTTACTAAAATAAAGTATTCTGCTTTAGATATGAAGTAGTAGATGTAACGCAAATAATGAATTTGTTACCTGACTTGTAGAGTTAAATTGCTACCAAACATGACTTTTATCACTTCTGGGAAACCTTCTCTGCCATTAACCTGAGTAATGAATCATACTTTTTTAGCCACATATTGTATGTGTTTTAAATAATTATCAAATAACATGCAAAAGGTTAGCACTCCGATCAGGTTTCTGAAAATTGCACATTGAATTAGTTTAATTATCAAATAACATGCAAAAGGTTAGCACTCCGATCAGGTTTCTGAAAATTGCACATTGAATTAGTTCAACTCACATACCATCTTGAACATTTTAGCACTCCGATCAGGTTTCTGAAAATTGCACATTGAATTAGTTCAACTCACATACCATCTTGAACATTGTGGAAATCATCATCACAATTGGAATCCATGGCCATATTTGAGTCGAACCAGGCATCGGCAATGCTCCCTGATGATTTTTAAACTGTCAATGAATGAATTATTTCGCAAAACGGCAAAAGACTATGAAACTACAGCTCATAAGTCATAGACTACGTTATTGATGTATAAGTCATTTATTAGTATACAAATATGCAATTAGTGGGTGTAAAGTTCATAATTTCATCAGCCACTTTTGCCGGCAAAACAATATAAAATTAGTTAAATTTCTTTCTGGGTCTTTGAGCAACAAATTTCTTTTCCTTCATAATCTATTTTTACCCAATGTATAGGCAACATGATTTTGATCAAGAAAAATCCTATTTTGTGAAAAAGAATGTGGACAAAATCTGCTATAGGGATCAGCATTCATATCTGATTAACAAAATAAACCAGAAAAAAAAAGAAAACTCTATTTCTCAAAGTTTAACTTGATCAGAATCTGGGCATCAATTTACAGTAACTAACAAATCAAGATTTGTTGAGAACTTCCTCCATTGACTCTCACTCACAAGTTTACGTTAGGGCATTATATGGAAGAATACATATAAAAAATACCCAGGAATTTCTCTAAAAAAAAAATACCCAGGAATGCGAGATTGAGAGGTTTGAAAACTTCAGAAGTCATTTGCCAAATATATGCCAGTGTAACCAATCCTAGTATGTGTCAGAGAATTCCTAGTAGGCTAGTAGAGAGGGAGGCCCTGCAGGCATCCCACAACTGTCTGTGCTTGTGGTGTAGGAGTATTCTTACCTCTATGTCCCTACATGCACCATGCACCATGCACATATCTTTGACCGTCGCCAGTGTGTAAGGTTCCAGTCTAATATGCCTTGCTATCTAGATACCTTCAGTAGTTTAGCTTCTGATGAACATAAATGTTTAATTTAGTACACATTTCATAATTATCCATGTTCATAAATAATGCTAATAAGATACCTACATGTTTTAATAATATAAAAAGAACAGAAGATGTACCTTCCTTTGGAAGCATCCATTTCTCTGAAGTTGGTGCTGAATAGGTTAAGCAAAGTGCTTTTACATATCAGGGGAAATTACTTATACTTGAAATAGAAAAATAAGTAAAGAGATCCAAATTCTTGAGATCTTCCTAGAAGCAATTGATGTTAATTGTTAAGCAAAAGCCACTGTCTTGAGTAGTGGTGAATCCAGAAAAACTTTCTAAGAGGGGCGGATAGCAAGCATATGTTTGTTTAGTGGTTACATTACATAAGTAGAAGCAGCGTGCAACCTCTTTAAAATTATGAGGGCAACTGCAATTTTAGAAAGGTTTCAGAATGAAAATGTAGAATAGTTAGAAGTGCAACTGGCCCCCTAACAATCAACATAGATCTGTCCTGACCTTGAGAAGCATTTGAGTTACCATCATAATATATATAAGGGTAATTAGTTAAGTAATTAGTTAAGCTTTGAAAGAACTCAAATTAACGTTACACTTTTGTCACTCACGTAATGAACTCGACTCGACAACCAATTGATACTTCATAACTCCATTGAACTTTCTGTCAGTTATTTCAAAAGCTTCAAACATTATTTTCCCTCACCTTGTACTAACCCATAAAAATGATGAACTATCTGCAGACTATTTAAAGAAGTAGATTCCAAAAAACCGTTAGTTACAAATGCTAGCTTGTCCTTACTTTCGATTTTTCTAGCATCTTGCATTTATCACCCTTAATAAATCACTGTTTGTAGGAAGTATTAACTGTTAATATCTTAGATGACAAATTGTCCCCATTCCTATTCACAAAAACTGTGTGATTGTGATGAGAAAAAGCAGAAGTAACTAAAACATTTTACACAATCACTACTGAAGGGTTTGCTGTGCGTGTGGTGGAGCATCTTTCTTTTGCCTCTGTTAAGTGTATTTTGTTGGCTTGCTTTCTATACATCAAGATTAAAAGATAATTTCAACAATCCAATAATATACATGGAACAAAATTAATAAAATTAGGAGATTAATACCTGAAATTTTGAAGAAAAATAATGTTCCTTAACTAGCCAATCTCAGTCATCAACACTTACTTCTGTAGGTTTATTTCTAAGTGCAACTTGCAATAAATTATCTTTCACATATTTCCTGTGCATGTCACCCCGCTACTTATTCCATAAATCGTGCAAGTGTCTCATTACTGTCTCTCTCTTTTGCTCCATGTCCTCGGCATCAAATTTATCCTATATCAAATTTGAATCAAAATTTAATTTATAAGAATTAAAAACCAATTGCAAAAAATTAATTTTTAATGTACCTTAATGGATGCCCACATATGATCTTTATTTTGTTGTGGTATTTTGGCCCAATTCTCAACAGCTACTAGGCAAATATTTCTATCATGAATAATAATTCCAAGATATCGTGAAAATTCTGGTTCAATAGCTCTATTCTGATAAAAAGTAATGATCTTTTTCTTCCCATGTGACAAATTATTCAACTTTAGACACTTATTATTACCACGAGGTGGATTTTTCTTCTTTTGAGAATTATCAGCTACATACATCATATCATATGTTACAACTTATGATATCATTTTCTATTATAGAACTTAAAATACGGGCTTCCATCGTTATGGGGTTAAGGGATAAAATCAAAACGTATTGGGGGTTTCTTGAAATTTTTAAACTTATGGGGGTTTAGTGAAACTAACCCAATCTAAGGAGAAATATCATAATTTCATCTTTTGTTGTTGGTTTTCACCTTGCAAATCGGCACATAAACTATCGATCAATATATATATAGGTACTTTATGGCAAAGTGCAAAGTAGGGGAAACTTTATGTACCTGAGTGAAAATTAAACAGAGCAATGAAAACTTCAGTACCGTGTCCCTTGGATGTCGGAGGGGAAATCGGTCCGACGATATCCATGCCCCACATTTCGAATGGCCAAGTCGCTGATGTAGGGTGTAAGTTTCCCGGCGCCTGATGGATGAAGTCCCCATGAATTTGGCATGCGTGACAACGTTTAGCGTAGTCAACCGCGTCTGAAAACATCTTCGGCCAATAATAGCCGATTCGTCGGAGGCGGTCTCCTAATTTAGCTCCAGGCTGATGAGCTCCGCACATTCCGTCGTGAGCTTCCTTGAGGGCCTCTTTCGCTTCCTTCCGAGAGAGGCATCGAAGTAAAACTCCATCATACGATTTGCGATATAGGACTTGAGAAACTGCATCGTAATAGAATCGGAGGGCCTTTCTTTTGATAGAGGCCGCTTCCTTAGGGTCATCGGGCAGGATCCCGTATAGGACATAGTCGATGTACGGGAATCTCCAATCTCTAGACTCAAATTCCATGGAGGTTGTACAGACTTCTCCTGTCGGTGTCTCGTCTGAGTTTCCGTCCCACGACTGGAATCGTTGTTTCAGTCTTCGGTGGCAATGCTAATGAGGTTGCCAAGGAGGCTAAAGCATCCGCATACGCATTCTGAGCTCATGGTACATATTCGATGAAGAAACCTTCGAACTTTTGAGCTTGCTTTAGCACTGCGAAGTAGTACAGGATTAGATCTTCGTGGCATACTTCATATTCCCCTCGGACTTAGTTAACGATGAGCTGAGAGTCACCGTAAGCCTCGAGGTGCTGAATATTAAGCTCTTCAGCTAACTGCATTCCTAATAGCAGAGCATTATACTCGGCTACATTGTTGGTGCAGGGTTCGATTAAGAAAAATCCTCTTGGGATTACATGGCCGTTCGGAGAGATTAGCACTACTCCCACTCTCGTGGTAATTGCTCCATGAGTGTTTGCTCTTGATGCACCATCGAAGAATAACTTCCACACTTGCGTAGCTTCTTGAGTAGCGCAAGCTTCGGCGACTTCGTCGGGTAATTCTTCATACAACTTAGACGTTCCTGATACTGGATGATCGGCTAAGAAGTCTGCCAGTGCTTGACCTTTGACCGCCTTTTGAGGCATGAACTGCATGTCGTATTGCGACATGAGAATGACCCACTTTGTGAGCCGGCAATTCAGAGATGATGGTTTCGTCATCAGCACTCTCAAGGGATTCACCTTAGAGATGACGTGAATTGTCTGTCCAACTAGGTAATGTCGCATCTTTTGAATTGCGAATACCAAGGCGAGACATTCTTTTTCGACCGGATTGTACCGGTGTTCGGCTCCCATCATAGTCCTGCTCAGGTAATAGATGGCTTGCTCTTGACCTTGATCGTTGTTCTGGGCTAACAAAGCCCCAAGGAATGGTTTTCCTGATATCGGGGCTATGAGAACTGGCGGTTGAGTGAGATATCTCTTAATCTCCTCGAATGCTTTTTAACACTCTCCATCCCAGACGAAGGATATTCCTTTCTTCATGAGCTTAGAGAAAGGTTGGTAACGCCCTGAAAGATTCGATATAAATCTTCGGATGTAGGCCAGTCTACCTTGTAAACCTCTGAGCTCTTTGAGATTCTTCGGAGGTGGTATGTCTTGGATGGCACACACTTTCTCTGGATCAAGGGAGATCCCCTTGGAAGTAACGATAAATCCTAGGAATTTTCCGCTTGAAACTCCGAGAAACGATTTCGTCGGATTCATCTTCAGCTGATGTGCTCGCATGATCTCGAACATTGTCTTTAGATCTGTAAGATGATCATCTTTACATTGGCTCTTCACTGCTATATCATCGATGTAGCACTCGATCTTCTTTCGAAGGTGTTCGTGAAAGATCGTGTTCATTGCACGTTGATACGTTGCACCTCTTCCTTCTCGGTGGATGATAGGTCTTCGGCTATAAAGATGGGCTTGGGGTCAGACTCATCTCCCATGTTGACTTGGATCACTTTATCTTCAGTGGGTGGTTCACGTTGTTCGAAACGCATATCCCACAGGATATTGAGACGCTTGATCCAAGGATCATCAGTCGATTCCAATAATTGCTTGTCATCCCCTGCGTCTTCGTCTGGATGACTTGTTGAAACCATGTTCACAGTCAAGTTTTTAAAGAAGGGTCCAATACTGACGTCGGACTCGTATGACGATATTCCAGATGACTGGTCATGACGTAAGTAATTACTGATTTCGTTTTCCGAGACGGGGGGAGGTGTGACGTAACCCACGCCCCTTCCGGTTTTTTGATAATAATCCGGAGGTTTTCCTTCAGGAGTGAGAGACATCCGGATCGGGGTTCGTCTTCCTTTCCCAAAGTTTAAGCCTTGTTTCTTATTAAAATTATATCCCATTCATTTCATTAAGTATATAGAATTGGGTTCGTGGTAATGGAATTGGAGAACTCCGTCGTCTTCCTCTGAACTTGCTTGTTTGAGTTGTTCGGGTTTGACTTTACCAAAACAGATCGACTTCTGCCCTTTCCTTTTGGATGAGACTTTGAAGAAAGCCTTCCGTGCATCCTCCACTTCTTCATCTGAAGCGAAGGATGACTGGATTGGCAAGGTGAGCGACGCCTTTGTGCACAGTATGTGTCATGGGTTGGTACCTGCACTAGAATCATTCTCTATTTGTTCATTTTTAGGAGAGACATCAGATAAGTACGCTAAAATGAAATCTTCATTAATGCACCACTCGCCCTCACTCGGTACATCATTATTACTCTCACCCTGACCCATTACATCAAAGTTTAACTCCCAAGAACAATCTTCATCAGGATCTGGTTCGATGTCAGCTTCGTTACCACTGTCCACATCTTCTTTCTCTTGGGATTCCAAATAGAAGACGGAGTCGGTGTGGAAGTTTTCCACCCCTCGGAAGGGCTATTTTTCTGCAATCAAGGTTCGGACTTCACCCTCGTCATTGGCATACTTCATGACCTGATGCAAAGTAGATGGGACAATGCGGTTTGCATGTATCCATGGTCGTCCCAGCAAAAGATTGTAGGACGTGTCCGCATCTATGATGTAGCATGCTACTTCAGACTTAAGATCTCCGATCTGGCATCTGAGCTTGATCTTTCCCAGGGGTCGGGTGCTGTTTGCATTGAACCCGAAGATAGTAGTCTGGGTGGTGTGCAGTCGGTGCATAGGTATCCCTAAGACCTGCATGACCTGGTAAGGCATGATGCTGAGCGCTGAGCCTGGGTCAACTTGAACACGACTGATTTCGGAGGATCAAATATACCCTGTGTAGTACAGTGGTCGGTCATGCTCGTGCTTGACTTGCATATCTTCCTGAGTGAATGATATGCAGGGTAGACTTCTTGCTGCTTGTATACATTGCAGACAAAGTTGATCTTCAGAAGCTTCGGGAATCGGAGTTACTTGAGTAATGAAGCTCTCCGTATTCTTTAAAGCTTCAATTAGAGCTTCCTTGGTGGATTTGGACAACCTTAGGAGCTCATATAAAGTAATCCTGGCCGGTATGTTGGCCAACTGCGCCATAACATTGAACTGGAAGGGAGCGCTCGATTCTCCGGATTCCTGGTGGAGATTTTTGTTGAATCGGAGCTCCTTCTGCTTTCCTTTATCAACCGGCCTTTTCGGGACAGAACCCCCAGCGTCTTGGGGATGCTCTTCAACTTCTGGAGCATTCTGGTCGTAATCCCTCAAGTAAGCTTTTCCTGACCGAGTGCCAGGGTTGTCTCCTGGGTATGCTGCCAGGACGATCCTCTACTCTTCTGAATCAGTAAGAGATTTGAGGTGGTCATCATTCTCAGTAATGGAGGGGCTAATCATGTTGGAAGACTTAGCCTTGCCTCCCTTCTTTTTGGACGAGGTGCTTGTCCATTGTTGATCTCTTAGCAGATCAGGGTGGACCCACATGATTTCCCCTTTTGGGATAGTGAGGGGTACTAACCCTCTGTCTTTTTGACTATGCAAGTCAACATTCTTCAGGTGCATTTCTCCCTTGTGAATGGGCACAACACCATTTGCAGTTACCACTGGGGGAAAGTCACCGAATTGGACCGCTATCATATTAGTGGATACGGTCTTCTGTTCTGGCTTCAAGGTGAGCACATTAGCATTCACCAAATTCTGTAAGATGTCTTTGAAGACATAGCACTTTTTGGTAGGATGTCCAAGGAATATGTGATAACGACAATAATTAGGGTCATCCACTTTCCCTGCTTCATCCGGCTTCCTGATCTCAGGCAATTGCAGCTTGTTGTTCT